CACATACATGTTCTATAAAATGTGATCAGTTTAAAGGTCTGTTTCTAATTTTTAAAGGAAAAGTAATGTTATTCTCTTGGTGGAGCTGGAACAAGGTTTACTATTGGACAAGCTCAGTTTTTTTTAGCTTTCATCACAATGGCAAAGTCACTGCTGATGCACCATGCAGATGACTTTAGTGAATAATTATAACTCACAAATCCCCGAAAACTAAATCTAAACCTACCTTCCATAATCCCTCAGCCTTAAGCTAACATCCAACCCTAAATCTGATGATTCCAATGAAACCCCATGACCTCTATCTTATCTCTAATCTGTAACTCTAACGCCCATAATTATTTGCAGAGCTGCCTGGTGCTTCCGAATTTACAGATTGAAATTATAAACAATCTATTAAGTAAACTTTAGTAAAGAACTAGATTCTGAAAGTATCTGAATGAGATCATTTTCAAAATTTGAACGTTCCTTTTGGTTGTAGCATTACCCAGGATTCATTGCCAACCAATGGCTACATTGGGATCCTAAGACAAAATTCTCTGGGTTGAGGTTGGGGGGGAAATGTTTTGACTGTAGCATTAAAACTTGCTTGTTCTAACTATTCAGTAGCATTTAAAAGACAATAATCTTCCCTTTATACTTCTGGCTTCTCTTCCTGACTGGCTACTTATTTTGTGTCTCTTTATATCCCTGTGACGTACTCAGGAGTCAGGACAGAGGAGGGACTTTAGGTGTGATATTTAATTATCCTTTGCATAAAATTCAGGCAGGTTGAAATATATTGTTTAAAGTAAAAAGTGCTGAAATGTTTTAAATATGTTGACATACAACATGTTTGTTAAAGCTTATTTATCTTGTTTTTTAAATTGTTTGTTTTTTTTTAAATTAAAACCTGTCTGTTTCTTAACTTTTTGGGATGTGTCCCATTTTCGTTGTGGTGCTTCTAGTAACAGACTTTTATCCCACCCTGCACTGGGGCTAAGGCATCCAATCATTGTGAGCTCCTAGGGTATCCTCACATGGGGTATTGTTACCGGACTGCCATAGCTCAGTCATGCTGGCACCTCACTCGCGAAGCACTAGAATAGTCTGGTTTCACCAAGCTCAGTAAAATCTGCATCTCATTTTTATCTTTAATTGACGTATGAAGTGCTTTGTACGTTGACTGTCACAAATGGTTCAAAAGCTCAGTACATACATTTCATACATAAAATCATGGCCTCCAGACTCTGGTAGCACTTGTAGAATTAATTCCTCTGCTGTGTAACTTGATTGATAGCTAAAGTCAGCCAATGCTCAAAGTACACATTGCAGAGAATTATCAAGGTAAATCATTCTGGGTGCAATGTGTTAAATGTTGAGAGACATTCAATTGGTTTCCACGGTAAGTTGTCTTTATTTAGCAAAAAGTTTAGATTAGGAGAAAAGCCTATTTCAAAATTGGTCCCTCCCTACCTGTCAATCAAGCCAATGAAGAACAGACTCACCGGGAGAGTAGGAGAGCCCTCTGAGATTTGTCTCTATGGCATAGCAAGCACCAGTAGTGTACATACGACCCATGGGGCCCCGGTGCGAAAATTGATCGTGACCCCCCCGCTCTTACTCTGCGCGGGCCGGGGCCGCAACAGATGGCGGCAGGCACCTGGTCGCAGGGGTTTCAGGGGTGCGACCCCTGCGACTGCGGTATGTACGCCAGTGCATGTAGATGCACACACACTTAAAGGACCACTACAGACACCCAGATCACATCAGCTCAAGGAAGTGGTCTGGGTGCCAGGTCCCTCTAGTTTTAACCCTGCAGCTGAAAACATAGCAGTTTCAGAGAAACTATGTTTCACTGAGGGTTAATCCAGCCTCTAGTGGCTGTCTCACTGACAGCCACTAGAGGCGCTTCCGCAGTTCTCACTTTGAAAATCACAGTGAGAAGACGCTGGACGTCTATAGGAACGCATTGAGTAATTCTTTCCTATGGGCGGTTTGAAAAGCGCGCGCGGCTCTTGCCACGCATGCGCATTCGGTGCTGAGAGACGGATTGGGGCGGAGGGTTCCCCAGCGCCAAGGGAGTCCGGCGCTGGAGAAAGGTAAGTGCTGAAGGGGTTTTAAATACACACACTCTTACAAACAGACGCATACACTCTAGCTAACAGACACATACATTTACTGACAGAGACACACTCAGCGACATATATACATACTCACTGACAGACAGACACACATACACACTCACTTACAAAACATACACTCTCACTGACAAACACACAGAGCTGAGAGGATTCCTTGGGGTCCAGTGGAGCTGCTAGGCGGCCGGTCACCGGGCGGACTGGCTGGCTGGATGTCTGGCTGTCGCGCGAGGGAACACTCTCCTCTGAGGGCTCTCTGTCCAGCTCCCTCGTGTGCCGCATACTGATGCCGGAGCCGGAACATGATGTCATCTTCCGGCTCCAGCATCAGTATGCGGTGCGCGAGGGAGCTGGGCAGAGAGCGCTCAGGGGAGAGTGCAACCTCGTGCGCCCGCAGGACTGGCCGACGGGGGCACCAGGGCTAGCCTCGGGGGCCACACTTGCATGCATACCGGGTCAAAGGGCGGCCGGGCCCCCTGGTGGGCTGAGCCCAGTCGCAGCCGCAACCCTGGTATGTACACCACTTGTAACCAGAGTGCATGTGCTCGCTAGCTAGCACTTTTAGTACTAACTAGAGGAGTATATCAACAGAGGTTTGCCCTGCTTGGAGACATTTCCCCATTTGGGGTAAATTAAAGCACAGCAAAAGCAGGAATAATACAGTATTGTAACATGCGCAGAGATGCAGTCGTTGCGGCGTTGAGCCAAAGCAGATAATATCTAGAAACATTTGTCTTTACGATAAATTATGTATTCATGGCGTATACTGGGGATTTCAGTAAAAGTGAACTGACTTTTTAATTTTAATTTCTAATTAACATTCTGAGTGAGCCTTTCTAGAGGTTCCACAAGAAGGCCCATCGGGTGAAATGGCTCCTACCTTAAACTTCAAAAGAGACAACGGTTGAAAAGAAAAACACAAAAAGAAACAGTTAGATTTTTCCATTTAATTCACTTTTAATAAAAACAAAAACATGACAGGTGAGCTTTTTTTAGCATGTTTATTTGTATCTGCATTGCAGTATTAAAACGATGTATTTATATTTCACAATGAGCTCTGGTGGTTTACGCGTGCTCGTATTTTTGAGCTATCCTGAGATATTACACACATATATATCAAGACGGGGTAGTTTTATATAGAGACTTCAATCTGGTCTTTGCCTCAAACTTGTACCACTGTCTTATTTTATAAATTTCACACCAATGGCTTTAAATAAAATGATGTATTATAAAATAAAATTGTTGGGTTATCTTTATGTTTTGGTGGTGTCCTGCGGTTTCTCTGACTAATCTCTCAAAGTCTAAAACATACCTTTATATCTACAACAACTCAAATAGTTTGCCCTTCAGGGGGTCCCTGCCCAGTTCTCAAGCTAGTTTTCGTTCATCTTAAGCCATTACAGAGAGAACCTAAATCATTTGCATATCAGACAGATAGCATCCAAAATGGCTGTCCAGGTCCGAAATTCTGAAAGTTATATCTGCACTAGAGATAAAACAACCCCCAGACGATCATTTTGGCCCCTGTGGTCCTCGTCAGTGAGGTCTAGCTGATACCACTCAAGGTACCGTCGGCAAGGAGTCCACGTTTGGAATACAATTTACCTTAGGGAGACCATTGGCAATTTGTAAACAAACCAAAACTGAGTGCAAGAAAATATTAAGAATGGACAACACCTCATATAGCTTGCCCTCTGATGTCATTTAATCTTCACTGCAGAATAATTTGATTATTATTAAAGCACGCTCCTCAGCATGTTCAGATTAAATGTTTTAATTCAAATCCATATATATGTCATTGGGCCCACACACTTTCACTTTTAGAAATGATGGTGGATGTTATAGGAGGGGTTTGTCTAATACTGCAACTATAAGAGTTGTCACCAGGAACATTCAATCGGCATTCTTGGTGATTACTCCACGTCTAGAGCATTGCACCACAATTTATATTTATATAGAACCTTCCTATAATTGTGCTAACCTTTAAACGAGGTCACTGAAATGCTTAATCTATGAACAACCACTGTACAAATAAATCCCACTGATATAAGTAGCTCGCTCAAAAACAACATTAAAGGTAATTTTTTCAAGATTTCATCATAGATTACCTTCGATGTCACCAGACCATAAAAGAATGATCATTTTTAAAAAAAAACTAAACTTTTTTTTTATAAAATGTGTTCCTTATTTATTTTAGAATACTGTCACCCTTGGTTAAAAAAAAAAGAAGAAATTAGAAAAAAAAAAAAAGCCAGAAAACGTACCAGCGATCCAGCACCGTAACAGACTCTCTCTTTATCGAGAGTGATGACTTTTATCCAATCAAATGCTTCTCATAGATAGGCTTTGAGGACAAATGGTGAATGCATGGCAATCGCCAATAACTGCCAGTCAATTTCTTTAATACATGAAGCATTGAATGCAATGCTTTTCATGGAGATGCATTGAATGTACACCGCATCTCCTGTTAGCCTGCCATGCACACAAATTCTGAACGTCACATTGATTCCATAATTGAATCTGTTTTAATCTCAGGCTCCTAGTAGCTGTCTGATTGACAGCCACCAATAGGTGTGTATTTTTCAAGTACAAAAGGTTCAATGTAATAACTGGATAGCAATGTTTGCTACAAACCATACAGCTGTTATATGCATTTACTCAAGTTTTGAACTGTCTGTAGCTTCTTTGAGTCTAAATAGAACCCTAATTGCAGTTGTTCATCCTCTACAAATATGAGATTGGTGACTGTTAAATTGGATTTAGTAACAGTGTCTGACTGCAGGGCTTTGTTATGAGTTCTGAGGGTTCTGAGAGAGAGCGAGAGAGAGAGAGAGAACCCAGTATCAGGTCATGTCCCTGCTGTCTAGAAATATATGTACAGACCAGTGATTTTATGCATAGTAAGCAGATTCTGTGCACCCAGCATGTTTTCTGTGTTATATATAAGGAAGACTATGTAATGCTACTCGAGATTCTGGTATACATTCCATATCGCAGATAGATTGCTCATTGTACATCACTCTCAGCCAGACCATCTGCACCAAGTATTAACTGTGAGACAAGCTTCAGTAGGAAATATGCATCTCTGAAATTATTGTAAATAAGACCAGATGGTAAAAACGAGTCCCAACACCCATTGCACAGAGCTCTGTGTGTTATTTCTGCGGACACATGCTCCCCATGTCTTCCCTTGCCCTAGATGGTCACCCCTCTGTTAATTAATAATGACACTTGACATCTGACTTGATGTAAAAATGGCCACCGCACTTTATTGAAACATTGAACTTTATCAAAATATCTGGTGATAAAAATTATATTTAAAAAAATAGAAAATCGTATTTACAGATAAATACATATTTACATAGATAAGTGTGCACATTATAATCCTTATTGAAACATAATTAAATTCCCCCAAAACTCTGTTTGTACAGTTACGTGCATTGTCATAACCTCCCACCCAACTGACAGTCACAAAACTTCATACATAAGGGCCTCCCGTGTTTTTAGTGCTAGGCATGCGGACTTCACTTTAGGGCAAGGGTCGGCAAGCTTTGGAAAATTTACAAATTGAAAAAAAAAATGTCAATATATACGAACTGAAAAAAATAATTCATAATGAGAAAGGAGTAGGCAACCTTTGGAACTCCAAATATTGTGAACTTCATTTCCCCTGATGCCTTGCCAGTAGTATGGATGTAAAAGCATTATAGTATGTGTAGTCCACAAGATCTGGAGTGCTGATGGTTGCTTACTACTTCTATATTATAATGTAATGCATTTATCAAGATAAGGAAAATATCGAGGACAGTGTTCATTTAAAGGATCGCTCTCCAATGACAATAGATAGAAAACGCAGCACTAAACCAATGTTTAAATGCATTCCGCTAAATCTGTACAGAATTATGTGCTATATATTTATATATATATATATTATATGTTATATTAAACATTTCTTTAGGTTCAGCTTTCAAAACAATTCAATAATGTTGATAAATGTTTCCAGATTATTTGCCTACAAAAATTCTCATAGACATTTGATGAGTTCTGTATATAAATATTTTTTTAAAGTTTTTCTAACAATGTTGAATCCTTTGAAATTCCTATTAAATCAAAGCCATAGATGGTGTTGGTCAGGAGTAGGCAACGTTCGGCACTCCATATGTAGTGGAATACAGTCCCCTGATGATTTCCCAGCGTTATAGCTGTGAGGGCATTATGTCTGGGAGATGTAGTCCACAACATCTGGAGCCTACTCTTGGTACATATTCAGTGGATTCTACATGTTTACTGCACTTCCTGTAAAGAGTCACTGTTATTGTCAGAGGTGAAATCTTTCATTCTCAACATTTCTTCCTGTTCCCCCATCATACTATTGAACTTTGCCTATGAATACTATTGAACTTTTTCAATGATTTTATATTTTGCATAAACTTTTAAAATGATAATAATATATAAATTAATATTAGTTTCTGATATATAATGATATATATATTTTTTTATATATGACATCTTTTTCGAAATTTGTATATTTAAAAAAAACATTTTTTAAAAAAAAGTTAAGCCAAAAATATAAAATTATTTCAAAAGCTTGTGCAATAATATAAAATTAAGGCCCTTATTATTGAATGTTTTTTTTTTTTCTGTATGGAGACACAATCCACCATTTGTCTAGTTTAATTTCAATATCACAATCACAATGTTTCAAAAAATACAAAAATATAAATTTTAATTTAAAATAAATTGTAATATTCATGAAGACACATGGCCAGAGGCATACAAATGTATATTTACAAAATCTATAGTAGAGGTTCTTAACATCTGATTGCAAACACATTGTTTTTCAAAGTAACAATTAAAGGGACACTATGGGTACCCAGACTACTTCAGCTTATTGAAGTGGTCTTAGTGCAGTGTCCCAGGCTCCTTAACCCTGCAATTGTAATTATTGCAATTTTTTTATAAACTGCCATGATTACCTTGGTAGGTTAACTCCACCTCTAGCGACTGTCTACTAGACAACCATCAGAGGGACTTCCAGATCATAAGGCAACTTTTGGTCATGTAACTGACGCTGGACAGTTTCACGTTCTGCATGAGGACATCCAGCGTCATGCAAAATCCCATAGGAAAGCATTATACAAAGCTTTAATGCTCTCATATAAGAAAAGTTCTAATGCGAGCACTGCGCTCACTACGCATTAGGTCCCCCCTGCCGACTGATGTCGGTGGAGGACCAGAGGCAGAGTCAGGACCAGGGCTGAGGGACATCAGTGTTCCATGGAGAGGGAAGGGGGGAGGCGAGTGAGGGTGGCACTACAGGGAGGTATAGTGTGAGATTTTCCTAGCACTATAGTTTCCCTTTAAAATATTGCTCAGTGACAAAAATAACAACTTTTGAAAATAATAATTGATATGTTTTTTTACATCAAAGGGAATGTCTTCTTCCAACCACAAAGACTTGGCACGCATCACATATTAGGTGGTTATTAACCACCTTATATTTCCTTATACATATAAATGGCAGTAATAAGCTATATATTACAGTTTTATTTTACATATAAACAACACAACACAACTGATTTCTTTCCCCCACCATAAACCTCCTTCTCTCTCCGAAAAAACCCCAAAACCAAAACAAAAACGCTCTCCTCCTCTCAACTTTCGACTCTGAATCCTTTTTGCTTCTTTCCTTTCTAGTTATTAAAACTCCATGGATTTGTTCAGAGATGACCCTTCGCTTTAACAGAAACATTTCCAAGAACTCCCACACCCAACAAAATCAAGTCAACGAACATGGTGGCTTCCAAGACAAATGGTTTTTGACCACTGTTTCGTGGCTTGCTGGTTGGCCTTAAGCTACCTACATGTGCCATGAGCAAATTGAGTCAATGGCTGTAATAAGTTGACTGCAGTGCTAAATATAAGTTTTTAAAACAGATGTCAGCATTAACAGGTCAGTTTGTCTAGGAGTATATGTCTCTTTCGTAATATTTGATTGAGTGTGAAGTGTATAAGCAGCTGACAAAGATAGAAAGAAACCAAAAAGGTAGGTGGGCCTAGGAATCATTTATCTCATTGAAGTGTGCTTTGGCTCTGTAAAGGTTGTAAACCACTCCTTTAGGGCACCACACTAAATAGTGCAACATCAGCTTATTTAAAAAATAGTTGGAATGAGAGTGTATAAAAAGTTTAAAGATTTGGTTACGGTAGAACAGTGTAATACAGTTTCAGTTTTCGGGGAACCTATTGGAGTAAGACTGTCTCTGATTTTGAAGACCATGGAGACAAGAGCATCATATTTCAACTACAGCTCCAAGACCTTCAACTACACTGCACAAACAATGGAAGATCAGTCTTGACAGGTTAGAAATGAATCATCACATTTTCCATTTTTAAAAGTCTTCCATTCTATGGGATGAAAAATGAAGTATTTCACGGGTCCGTGTAATTCATTGAATATGAAGGATTCATGGGAATGATGCCAGGATTGTAACATTTTGTGGAGCATTATTGGATTATGTGTACATATATTGCCTTCAGGAAAATCCAATGCTCCAAATACTTGTCCTTCCCGATTCTTTGCTCATTTTTGACTCATTTATTTCTGAAACTTTCGAGCCTTTCTTGCTCCTTTACATCACCACCTAAAAATGCAGTTAGCATTGTGAGTAAAGAGGGGGTAGAAATTGGTTGTTCTGATAAAGATTGGGAGATGGAGGACGACTTTCTTCTCCAGAGTCAGACATGAGAAGATATGCATACTTCAAAGATGGAGGAGAAGGAGGTAGTGGACGTGGTTTGGGAGATAGGAGTCCATCGCATGTCTCCACTATAGTATACTCAAAGCTAGAGGCTGGACTCTGCTTCCCTTCCTCGGGGCAATAGTTATCCACAAATGACATCTTCAACCAGTCACTCTCTATTTTGGGACCCTTTATCATGTCATTTTCACATTTAAATGTTTCCTCCTGACTTTTCTCAATAGTGGATGCCTCACCAACACCAGAATCTGTATGGTTGGTTTCGGTACTCTGAGTCTCCAGCCAGCCAAACCCTACTAGTCCATTCTTCCTTTTTGTAGTCTCCTCAGGCTCAGGATTGAACACAATGGATTCCCTCCCTGGTGGCTCTGTCCAGCTGAACGGCTGCCATCTGCCATTTACCATTGCAGGGAGCTGTGGCATGATATTATCATTTAATATAACATAGTTATCCTTGGAGGGCAGCTGTATAGCAGGGCACTGTGGCATTGGTGCGGATGGCAATTCTGAAAGAACTTCCAAAGCAGAGTACGGGGCTTCATAGAAGATATGTCTGGAGAACCACATGAGGTAGAAGTCTGCTTGGCCAAGCCATAGCTGCAGATAAAAGAAACACAATAAATGGGTTTGACAGAGAATAAGGATTCTTAAATCAGAAATTACAAACTTAAACCTGGGATTACCCCAAACCTCACCTGCTCATCATGTTACTATACCCCATGTACGCATCGTGGTACTAAACCGTACGTGTTCACCACGTTAAAAAAACTTCACCTGAACACTCTTTGATACTAAACCTCACCTGCTCGCCATGTTACTAAACATCACCTGCTCACCATGCAACTAAATCTACATTTTCCCAGTTATACTCAATGAGTTGAACTTAAAATGTAATTATTCTAATCGCAGTTGTCTATGCATCTAAAACTTGTTTATAAAATCGACTTTTCCTATCAATATAACCAAGGAACACTATAGGGTCAGGCACACTGTGCAGCACTGCCACAGGAAGCACCTCTAGCAGCCATCTGAGGAGTGGCCAGTGAAGTTATCACTAGGCTGTAATGTAAACACTGCATTTTCTCTGAAAAGACAGTGTTTACAGCAAAGAGCCTGAAGGGAATGCTTCTACTCACCAGAACAAATTCAATAAGCTGTAGTTGTTCTGGTGGCTATAGAGTCAGGTCTGAAACTTAATTTAAAAGGAAAAAAAAAATAGATTGAAGAACTGAACTGTACCTGAAAATTCCCCTTATGGATTGTGAAGAGGTCTTGAAAGTGGCTCTCTGGGGTGGGGACCTGTGGCCAAATCTTGTGTTTAATGATACTGAAACAAAGATAAACCAGGAAATGTTACAGAGTAGCAAATACAAACATAGCAACAGCCATGACATTTTACACAAGCCCTCAATTATATATTGGGTTTAATAATAAAAGCTATAATAATAGGGGGGGAGAGGAAATCTACTAAGGATTTTGATTAATTTTCCATTATATTATAAGTGTAAACATGTCTTCTATACGAATGCTACAAAGCAGATAGTATACGTAAAAGTGAAGCAAAATCATAAAAAAAGCCTCAGTTAGCCACAAAAAACCCTGATATTGTCCTTTTAAATAAAGAGTTGTTTTTATGGGGGTTCATTACTTACCTGATATATTTCAGTAACAGGAATAGTGGTATGATGACCATCAACAACGCAACTGCCACACACAGCACAATGTATAACGGATCAAAGCCTAAAACATAAACAAACAGGTCACATTCCACCTCATCTCCACAAGTCCTCAAACTTACACCTTCCATCTCTTTATTCACTCACTTAGTGCTGATTTACTATTATCGAATATGTTTTTCAAATTATTTAAAGAGGCACTGTTAACGTTTGGGGCCAAATTCCCAAAGTCCCCAGACTGTGACATCGCCGCTGGTGGCCCGGTGGTGGTGGTGGTAAGTAAAGGTGAGTTTACTCACATGAACCTGTCCCTTGATCCCGCCACCTCCTTGATCTAGTGCAGCATTGAGGGCTATGGGCAATCATGCGAGACCATGGGATTCTCCACAGAAAAAGCCCATTCCTTAAAGCCGTCACTGATGATGGCTGCAGGGACTGGCTCTGTAGCTCGGCCTTGTGTCAAAGAAAGTCAGGCGGAGGAGAATTACAGAGACAAAGTCTTGATGTGTTTGTTTATTTCCCCAGACATTTAATTAATTTGGAGCATGTATTTGCAGTTGTTTTGTTTGTGTGTTTGGTCTTACCTGTCTGTACAACTATTGGCTGAGTCCACTCGCTCCAGTACCCATTATATGAATAGCCATTCATTTTGGCCCTCACTCGGATTGAATAGCGAGTATTAGCGTTAAGCGGTGTCAGCAAAAAATTGTTCTGCCCTGTGATACCATCACCTTCATTCTGAAACAACAGCAGAGAGATTATTACATAATACTCAAATGCTTCCTGTATAATAATGCTGAGTATCTATACACTGATAATGAACACACTGTGCTGTACAATAATACTGAGTATCTATTACTGATAATGAACACACTGCGCTGTATAATAATACTGAGTATCTATACACTGATAATAAACGCACTGCACTGTATAATGATACTGAGTATCTATACACTGATAATGAACACACTGCGGTGCATAATAATACTGAGTATCTATACACTGATAATGAACACACTGCACTGTATAATGATACTGAGTATCTATACACTGATAATGAACACACTGTGCTGTATAATAATGCTGAGTATCTATACACTGATAATGAACACACTGTGCTGTATAATAATTCTGAGTATCTATACACTGATAATAAACACACTGCACTGTATAATAATACTGAGTATCTATACACTGATAACGAACACACTGCGCTGTATAATAATACTGAGTATCTATACACTGATAATAAACACACTGCGCTGTATAATAATGCTGAGTATCTATACACTGATAATAAACACACTGCACTATATAATAATACTAAGTATCTATACACTGATAATGAACACACTGCACTGTATAATAATACTGAGTAACTATACACTGATAATGAACACACTGCACTGTATAATAATGCTGAGTATCTATACACTGATAATGAACACACTGCACTATATAATAATCGTAAGTATCTATACACTGATAACAAACATACTGCACTATATAATAATACAAAGTATCCATACACTGATAATGAACACTGTATAATAATACTGAGTATCTATACACTGATAATGAACACACTGCGCAGTATAATAATACTGAGTATCTATACACTGATAATGAACACACTGTATAATAATACTGAGTATCTATACAGTGATAATGAACACACTGCACTGTATAATAATATTGAGTATCTATACACTGATAATGAACACACTGCACTTTATAATAATACTGAGTATCTATACACTGATAATGAACACACTGTATAATAATACTGAGTATCTATACAGTGATAATGAACACACTGCACTGTATAATAATATTGAGTATCTATACACTGATAATGAACACACTGCGCTGTATAATAATACTGAGTATCTATACACTGATAATGAACACACTGTATAATAATACTGAGTATCTATACAGTGATAATGAACACACTGCACTGTATAATAATATTGAGTATCTATACACTGATAATGAACACACTGCGCTGTATAATAATACTGAGTATCTATACACTGATAATGAACACGCTGCACTATATAATAATACTGAGTATCTATACACTGATAATGAACACACTGTATAATAATACTGAGTATCTATACAGTGATAATGAACACACTGCACTGTATAATAATATTGAGTATCTATACACTGATAATGAACACACTGCGCTGTATAATGATACTGAGTATCTATACACTGATAATGAACACACTGCACTGTATAATAATACTGAGTATCTATACACTGATAATGAACACACTGCGCAGTATAATAATACAGAGTATCTATACACTGATATTGAACTCACTGCACTGTATAATAATACTGAGTATCTATACAGTGATAATGAACACACTGCACTGTATAATAATATTGAGTATCTATACACTGATAATGAACACGCTGCACTGTATAATAATACTGAGTATCTATACACTGATAATGAACACACTGCGCTGTATAATAATACTGAGTATCTATACACTGATAATGAACACACCGCGCTGTATAATGATACTGAGTATCTATACACTGATAATGAACACACTGCGCTGTATAATAATACTGAGTATCTATACACTGATAATGAACACACTGTATAATAATACTGAGTATCTATACAGTGATAATGAACACACTGCACTGTATAATAATATTGAGTATCTATACACTGATAATGAACACACTGCACTGTATAATAATACTGAGTATCTATACACTGATAACGAACACACTGCACTGTATAATAATATTGAGTATCTATACACTGATAATGAACACACCGCGCTGTATAAAGACACACGCTATGAACCAGGCTGCTTACCATTTGCTCGTCATCGTTTGTGGGTGTGCATCTGACCTGATATGTAATGCTGTCCTCGAAGCTCATGATGGGTGGCTCCCAGAATACCATATAGACTCGAGGAGTGTTTGTCTCTTTCACTGTCACATTCCTGGGAGGCTCCAAGAACACTTGTAGGAGATAAAGTACAATGTTTGTCAGTCCCTACTCGTTTCGCACACTTACAGTAATTCTGAAAACATCTCCACTGGTTTAGATAACACATAAAATATTTTATTCCTGTCAATTCTTACCCACTTGGTCGGTGTATACCGTCTTCCTGTACATCACTTTGCTGCTGTTGTCACTTTTAGACACTCCAATGTCTATGGGTGTGAACGAGTTTACGTCACTCATTGGGAAATTGCATATGTGCCACCAGGTGTCGGCGGAGGATGCCTGTGTCATCAGATTGCAAGACTTGACCTGGCCACTAGACAGACATAACAGTTAACAGTTAATTATAACAGTTTCCTTATCTCTAACAATTTATCTTTCAAAGTTTGCTTACTTATCAACAAACGTCACGAAATGACAATTTATCATTTAATGTATCCATTATTAGAACATTCAACAAATGTAACCAGAATTGTATAACTGTATGAAAATAATAAAGGCCCAAGCGCAGGAAACTAAGCCCACTGATGTTTGCCGCCATGTGCCATAGGCTGTGTAGGGATGTGTGCTGCCATGTGCCATAGGCTGTGTAGGGATGTATGCCGCCATGTGACATAGGCTGGCTAGTGCTGTATGCTGTCATGTGACATAGGCTGTGTAGGGACGTATGCCGCCATGTGCCACAGGCTGGGTAGTGATGTGTGCCGCCATGTGCCATTGGCTGGGTAGGGACGTATGCTGCCATGTGACATGGCCTGTGTAGGGATGTATGCCGCCATGTGACATAGGCTGGGTAGTGCTGTATGCTGTCATGTGACATAGGCTGGGTAGGGACATATGCCGCCATGTAGCACAGGCTGGGTAGTGATGTGTGCCGCCATGTGCCATAGGCTGGGTAGGGACGTATGCTGCCATGTGACATGGGCTGTGTAGGGATGTATGCCGCCATGTGACATAGGCTGTGTAGCGATGTGTGCCGCCATGTGCCATAGGCTGGGTAGGGATGATGTATGCTGCCATGTGACAAAGGCTGGGTAGTGATGTTTGCCGCCATGTGCCATAGGCTGTGTAGGGATGTGTGCCACCATGTGCCATAGGCTGGGTAGGGATGTATGCCGCCATGTGACATAGGCTGGCTAGTGCTGTATGCTGTCATGTGACATAGGCTGGGTAGGGACGTATGCCGCCATGTGCCACAGGCTGGGTAGTGATGTGTGCCGCCATGTGCCATTGGCTGGGTAGGGACGTATGCTGTCATGTGACATGGGCTGTGCAGGGATGTATGCCGCCATGTGACATAGGCTGGGTAGTGCTGTATGCTGTCATGTGCCATTGGCTGGGTAGGGACGTATGCTGCCATGTAACATTGGCTGTGTAGGGATGTATGCCGCCATGTGACATAGGCTGTGTAGGGATGATGTATGCCACCATGTGACAAAGGCTGGGTAGTGATGTTTGCCGCCATGTGCCATAGGCTGTGTAGGGATGTGTGCCGCCATGTGACATAGGCTGGGTAGGGATGATGTATGCCGCCATGTGACAAAGGCTGGGTAGTGATGTTTGCCGCCATGTGCCATAGACTGTGTAGGGATGTGTGCCGCCATGTGACATAGGCTGGGTAGGGATGTGTGCCGCCATGTGCCATAGGCTGGGTAGGAATGTGTGCCACCATGTGCCATAGATCTTGCCAGCTTTGAAAATTACCTCACTGTGTGAAACACTCTGTCAGCAGGAAAAGGATGTGCCCTATCTCGACATTTCGGGAGACATTTGGCAACTATGTGACTATTGTCTGGAATAACATACGCTGGGATTATCTTATCAACTGCAGTCGTCATAGAAAGGACTGGGCAAAATGCCAAGTTCTATCCCTACGAGAATTAATGGTAACACTATTCTGTATTCTACGGATTCCCAGAGTTCTGAACTCTGTCTGGGTAGAAGAGAACATTTTCTTTTAATTCATGGAAACATTTCCTATAAATTCACTGCTCTGCAAAACCCACCAAAAAATGTGAGAATTTAAGATTCAAAGTACCAAGATGTCAAGATGAGATTATTTAGGGTACACTGACTGTATGAAACGTTATCCAGCCATGCAGAGCTCCACCAGCAAATCTATGACTTGCATAGCAATCAGTCTAACAGGGCTGCAGCAGATCAGTCTAACAGGGCTGCAGCAGATCAGTCTAACAGGGCTGCAGCATCCTTGATATTTCAGGATAATATTGGCCAGAAATAGAAATTGTCTCTGAATCTCTATATAATACAATTTCTATAGAATACAAAATTTGGAGAATGCGTAGACTGAATAATTAGATCATTATTATTATGTTATTTATAGAGCGCCATCAGATTCCGTAGCGCTTTACAATGGGTGGACGAACAAACATGTAGTTGTAACCAGACAAGATGGACACACAGAAACAGAGGGGTTGAGGGCCCTGCTCAATGAGCTTACATGTTAGAGGGAGTGGGGTAAAGTGACACAAAAGGTAAGGATAGTATTAGACTAGTGACAGTTGCAAGAGAGAAATCAGTCAGGAGCTATTAACAGTTTAATTGACACGCTTTTATGAAGAAATGGGTTTTTAACGATTTTTTGAAGGAGTGGAGACTGGGTGAGCTCATTATGGTTTCCCTCCTTTGCTTTCCCTCCTTTTCAGGTAGTATTTAAACAAGCTCATTATATTTATTTTATATAACTTGTGTCACTATTTAAATTTGTACCAGTTTCAAGGAAAATTATTACAAATATAATTTTTTTTTTCTAAAAAGTATACTCAGATTTTCGACTGATAGTCTACACTTGACAAAGGTCTGAAATGCTACCAGGTCCACATTGGAGGAATGAAACTCTCTTTCTTATCTGTTGTTGGTGTTGCAGATCGCTGGTTTATTTTGTGCTTTTGAAAGTCTGTTTAGTGTACTTTGGAACATGGCAGCGGAGTTACCTATTATTCAGTGCTACCTCCCTTATCTTTGACAGATAGTGTCATACCAACCCAAGGAATTCTATCTTAAATGCATTTAATGCACTCTCTCATCCTTGATCCTCAACAGTAGCATATGTCAGGGTCAAATGAAGATAAACAAAGGGACATCAGCTCAGCATAATGCTGGGTGAACACCTGGCGGAAGTGGCAAATGAAAGCCGAATAACCACTAAACATCTGTAAAGTTTTGTAGCCACTACTCAGCCAATAAAACCAAGGATGTGCTCTGTGAGATCCCCAGTATTTACCACAGAGAGCAGGGTCTCTCCCCTCTCACTATGAGTTAGAGGAGCTAATATTGCCTCTGTGCTGGCTGGATGGGCCACTTAGCCCAGTGGCAACAGGACCAGGGGATGCCCAGTAGACTTGTGCATGGTGAACACTTGGTTTGTCAAAATTGATTTGTTCAACAGAGTTTTGTTCAGGTGATTTTTTGATTTGTCCATGTAGCGTTTTGGTTCGAATTAATTTTGCACATGCAATCGTTTCGGGAAAAATGGTTCCGAGAAGCAAAAAGGGCGGAAAAATTGGCCAATCAGGGTACTGTAAAATATAAATACATTACACTCTTTTTGCTTCATTTAATTCACAGATCAAGTGAGAAGTAACCAACAGAGGGAAAAACAGGAAAAGTTGTAAAACAATATATCTACATGTATGTATTTATATATTAATTATATAACATAGAAATGTAGATTTGTTTTTACTGCTCCTCCTTGTGCCCCTTCTATTGGTAACTTGTCACTCGATCTGTGAAAATAAAATCAACATTTAAGGGCTGTCCCCTAACGATCAATCATCATGTTTTTCCATCAATTATCTTGATAAAATAAAAATAACTAATCTGTCTACTCTGGTCGGCTGTCAGAACTGAATTAAAATATAACGGAGAATTTTATTTATAACAAACAATTTCTTATGAGAATTCAAACAATTCAAAACAAGATATTGACATCCCGCAGAGGGATTGTCCAGCATTGCTGAGAGCCATCTCCTGCCATTGTGGAGAGAGGGACTTTATACCCAAACCTCTGTACTACGTGTGTGATAATGTGACTGTACATAGAGGGACAGGACTACATGCATTGTACTCACTCGTATTCATACTGAAAGGTGTATGTTGAATTTTCTAGTTCCTCGCTCTCCCAGAAGCAAACCAGATCAAATTCATTTGTGGTGTAACAGTATGGAATCGTCGAGTTCACATGGATAACCTCGTAAACTGGGGAAAAAATAAAAAGAATGATTTATACATGCCTTATTACCCTGTAACATCTTATTACAGTAACCCGGCTCCTGAGTGCCTTATTACCCTGTAACATCTTATTACAGTAACCCGGCTCCTGAGTGCCTTATTACCCTGTAACATCTTATTACAGTAACCCGGCTCCTGAGTGCCTTCTTACCCTCTAACATCTTATTACAGTAACCTGGCTCCTGAGTGCCTAATTACCCTGTAACAGCTTATTACAGTAACCCGGCTCCTGAGTGCCTTATTACCCTGTGACATCTTATTACAGTAACTCGGCTCCTGAGTGCCTTATTACCCTGTAACATCTTATTACAGTAAGCCACCTCCTGAGTGCCTTATTACCCTGTAACATCTTATTACAGTAACCTGGCTCCTGAGTGCCTTATTACCCTGTAACATCTTATTACAGTAACCCGGCTCCTGAGTGCCTTATTACCCCGTAACAAGAAACCCGGCTCCTGAGGGCCTTATTACCCCTTGTAACATCTTATTACAGTAACCCGGCTCCTGAGTGCCTTATTACCCTGTAACATCTTATTACAGTAACCAGGCTCCTGAGTGCCTTATTACTCTAACATCTTATTACAGTAACCCGGCTCCTGAGTGCCTTATTACCCTGTAACATCTTACTACAGTAACCTGGCTCCTGAGTGCCTTATTACCCTGTAACATCTTATTACAGTAACCCGGCTCCTGAGTGCCTTATTACCCTGTAACATCTTATTACAGTAACCCGGCTCCTGAGTGCCTTATTACCCTGTAACATCTTATTACAGTAACCCGGCTCCTGAGTGCCTTATTACCCTGTAACATCTTATTACAGTAACCCGGCTCCTGAGTGCCTTATTACCCTGTAACATCTTATTACAGTAACCCGGCTCCCGAGTGCCTTATTACCCCCTGTAACATCTTATTACAGTAACCTGACTCCTGAGTGCCTTATTACCCTGTAACATCTTATTACAGTAATCCGGCTCCTGAGTGCCTTATTACCCCGTAACATCTTATTACAGTAACCCGGCCCCTGAGAGCCTTATTACCCTGTAACATCTTATTACAGTAACCCGGCTCCTGAGTGCCTTATTACCCTGTAACATCATATTACAGTAACCCGGCACCCGAGCGCATTATTACCCTGTAACATCTTATTACAGTAACCCGGCTCCTGAGTGCCTTATTACCCTGTAACATCTTATTACGGTAACCCGGCTCCTGAGTGCCTTATTACCCCATAACAAGAAACCCGGCTCCTGAGGGCCTTATTACCCCTTGTAACATCTTATTACAGTAACCCGGCTCCTGAGTGCCTTATTACCCTGTAATATCTTATTACAGTAACCCGGCTCCTGAGTGCCTTATTACCCCGTAACATCTTATTACAGTAACCCGGCTCCTGAGTGCCTTATTACCCCGTAACATCTTATTACAGTAACCCGGCTCCTGAGTGCCTTATTACCCTGTAACATCTTATTACAGTAACCCGGCTCCTGAGTGCCTTATTACCCTGTAATATCTTATTACAGTAACCCGGCTCCTGAGTGCCTTATTACCCCGTAACATCTTATTACAGTAACCTGGCTCCTGAGTGCCTTATTACCGTGTAACATCTTATTACAGTAACCCGGCTCCTGAGCGCCTTATTACCCTGTAACATCTTATTACAGTAACCCGGCTCCTGAATGCCTTATTACCCCGTAACATCTTATTACAGTAACCCGGCTCCTGAGTGCCTTATTACCCCGTAACATCTTATTACAGTAACCCGGCTCCTGAGTGCCTTATTACCCCATAACATCTTATTACAGTAACCCGGCTCCTGAGTGACTTATTACCCCCTGTAACATCTTATTACAGTAACCCGGCTCCTGAGTGCCTTATTACCCTGTAATATCTTATTACAGTAACCCGGCTCCTGAGTGCCTTATTACCCTGTAACATCTTATTACAGTAACACAGCTCCTGAGTGCCTTATTACCCTGTAACATCTTATTACAGTAACCCGGCTCCTGAGTGCTTTATTATCCTGTAACATCTTATTACAGTAACCCGGCTCCTGAGTGCCTTATTACCCTGTAACATCTTATTACAGTAACACAGCTCCTGAGTGCCTTATTACCCCGTAACATCTTATTACAGTAACCCGGCTCCTGAGTGCTTTATTATCCTGTAACATCTTATTACAGTAACCCGGCTCCTGAGTGCCTTATTACCCTGTAACATCTTATTACAGTAACCCGGCTCCTGAGTGCTTTATTATCCTGTAACATCTTATTACAGTAACCCGGCTCCTGAGCGCCTTATTACCCTGTAACATCTTATTACAGTAACCCGGCTCCTGAGCGCCTTATTACCCTGTAACATCTTATTACAGTAACCCGGCTCCTGAACGCCTTATTACCCTGTAACATCTTATTACAGTAACCCGGCTCCTGAGTGCCTTATTACAGTAACCCGGCTCCTGAGTGCCTTATTACCCTGTAACATCTTATTACAGTAACCTGGCTCCTGAGTGCCTTATTACCCTGTAACATCTTATTACAGTAGCTCGGCTCCTGAGTGCCTTATTACCCTGTAACATCTTATTACAGTAACCCGGCCCCTGAGTGCCTTATTACCCTGTAACATCTTATTACAGTAACCCGGCTCCTGAGCGCCTTATTACCCTGTAACATCTTATTACAGTAACCCGGCTCCTGAGTGCCTTATTACCCTGTAACATCTTATTACAGCAACCCTGCTCCCGAGTGCCTTATTACCCAGTAACATCTTATTACAGTAACCCGGCTCCTGAGTGCCTTATTACCCTGTAGCATCTTATTACAGTAACCCGGCTCCTGAGTGCCTTATTACTCTGTAACATGTTATTACAGTAACCCGGCTCCCGAGTGCCTTATTACCCTGTAACATCTTATTACAGTAACCCGGCTCCTGAGTGCCTTATTACCCTGTAGCATCTTATTACAGTAACCCGGCTCCTGAGTGCCTTATTACTCTGTAACATGTTATTACAGTAACCCGGCTCCCGAGTGCCTTATTACCCTGTAACATCTTATTACAGTAACCCGGCTCCCGAGTGCCTTATTACCCTGTAACATCTTATTACAGTAACCCGGCTCCTGAGTGCCTTATTACCCTGTAACGTCTTATTACAGTAACCTGGCTCCTGAGTGCCTTATTACCATGTAACATCTTATTACAGTAACCTGGCTCCTGAGTGCCTTATTACCCCGTAACATGTTATTACAGTAACCCGGCCCCTGAGTGCCTTATCACCCTGTAACATCTTATTACAGTAACCCGGCTCCTGAGTGCCTTATTACCCCGTAACATCTTATTACAGTAACCCGGCTCCTGAGCGCCTTATTACCCTGTAACATCTTATTACAGTAACCCAGCTCCTGAGCGCCTTATTACCCTGTAACATCTTATTACAGTAACCCAGCTCCTGAGCGCCTTATTACCCTGTAACATCTTATTACAGTAACCCGGCTCCTGAATGCCTTATTACCCTGTAACATCTTATTACAGTAACCCGGCTCCTGAGTGCCTTATTACGCTGTAACATCTTATTACAGTAACCCGGCTCCCGAGCGCCTTATTACCCCGTAACAAGAAACCCGGCTCCTGAGGGCCTTATTACCCCTTGTAACATCTTATTGCAGTAACCCGGCTCCTGAGTGCCTTATTACCCTGTAACATCTTATTACAGTAACCCGGCTCCTGAGTGCCTTATTTTATTTAGGATATTGAAAACAATGGGGTATATATTAATCTACTTTAAAAAAAAAAATTACTATAAAAATATTTAAATTTTTGTGACATGATGAGCACACAGAGCATAGTATGTAAATTTGTACACACTACACTACACCCAATTTCTCTGTAGATGCTAGAGCACGCATGAACATGCGCAAGACATCATGTAAGTTTGTCATCCACAACACGGAAGTTTAACACAAGGCAAGCTTTATTTACCCCATTATACGCTGCAATAGAATTTACTTTTTTTTCCCCAGTAAGTGATAGTGTCTGTTTAAACAACATGACCTTAACTTTTGATTATATGCAAATACACAAATTCACATTTTAAACCACACTAGGACAGCTAGAAATTAACCAATTACTTTACAGGTTGCTTAAACTATTAGGCAGACGGTGATAACTGCTAGACTAGGGGTAGGCAGCTTTCGGCACTCCCGATGTTGTGGACTGTCTTTCCCCTAAAGCTTCGCCAACATTATGGCAGTAAGAGCATTAAAGGAGATGTAGTTCACAACACCTGGGCTGCCAAACCTTGCCTACCCATGAGATAGACCATCATGACTATGGAACATCAGTCTATTCTTTTTTTTAAAATAATTTTGTGGGGAGATCAGTCCCCCCCTCACCCCCCCTCTTTGAACTCATGATCCTGTTATTGTATGAGATTATGTATCGTAGTAACCCCCATCACAAGTTGTTTACAATAACACGGTTCACATAAAGTCATGGATCTCGCATGCAGAGTAGTAAACACACAGTATTTGTCCTCATCCTCACACCCCTCCTCTATGTGTCCATCTGGCACCATAGATAAAGGTAGCAGGAGTTGTGAGTCAGAGAAATGGCGGCCTTTCCTGCAGCAGGATCTCACACTCTTTTCCCATAAGAAACCTTTTTTATTTTTTTTAAGAATGTTTTGGAATTTATTATGTAACCTTTCAGTAACCCTTTCAGTACCATGGTGGGGGCACTGTTAAGCCTTTCAAACTAAAACTATTTACAGACAACGTATCGCTCAGATTTTTTGATTTTTTTTTTTAAATTTATTATTATAATGGACGTCCAGGAGAGCAAATTGGAGAATATTCTCCCAATAACGTAATGATACTAACGATAAACAGTGTCATTGCTGGTATTTTACATAATAAAAGGAATAGACAAACCCATCCAGATAGTCATATCTAGTATATAAAAAAAGAGAGTCTTGTGCCCTCACTGTACAGTGGGATCATTCTCTAAACGAAACACCCATTCCTATTCTCCGGCCAGTATGGGGCTCATTAAAGATTGCCTTAATTCATTGGAGTTGGAGTTTTAAAAAAAATGGAGAATATAAATGTTGGTTTCATGCTTTTTCTTCACTCT